AGCCTATAATAGAATATATAGAATATTTCTTTTATGTAAAATATAGTTTTACTGCAATATACAGCTGAATGACTGAATCACTTAATAGTTTTATTATTAAATTTAAAAAGTACATAATGTAAAAATTATTTATTTATTTTTGTTAAAAATTTTATAGTAATAATAACATGTGTTTCGCAGACAGGGGTGAAGGTTTGGCTAGAGTAGTGGAGTATCACTCTATTAATAACCTACTAGTCTTGTGGTTTCTTAAGCCATACACTCTACAATATATCACATGTTGTGCTATTACCTAAAATATTAACTATTAAGCAAAACATTGTATGCCACTTGAAAAGACAACCATAATATATAGAATTAAATGAAATTAGATGACCTTATATAGGTAACAAAATGAACAACAGATCAAGTACCCAATGTTTGTTTATAAACCATAAAATATATTAATATTTTTCTTAAAAACAAATTAATGTCTAGTAAACTAATTATAAAAACATACACTTATTATTATACCTGTAGTGTACCATTTTTACGAATAAACCAGATTAAATACGTAAATAAGAATTTGCTATATAGGTACATTTTATAATTTGTACTTCATGTATTTTTTTTGATTGGAAATACTTGATTCTATAAGTATGGAACTATCCAATTTGATTTCATGCTTCTATAGAACATTATTATTGATGCATTCAGTAACATGATAAAAAAAACATTATTTGTTTAATTCAAGTTGTTTTATAGATGTATTTATTTTCTCAGTAGGAAATAAAGTAGATGCATATAATATAAAGATCAGATGTTGCCTATTGGTAACATTAGTCTGTGCATCATAATATATTTATAAAATTGAATATTGTACGTCGTAGTACTATCTATAGGTACTGAGTTTAGATACTTGTTGAAATAAATAATAAATATCCATTCGCATAAGAATATTTTTCTGAATCATTAGTTTTTGTTTATGTAAAAGAAAATATCTATTTTATCTAAATCAATTACCTAAGGTGGGTGCCTATATAATATTATGATATACGTATATCTACCTATCAATTTACACTACATTGTACTCGACATTGTATTACAATATACATATTTAATTTAAATTGTTTGATAAAATTAATATGCTATGTTAAAAAATCACTAGAGTAGAAGTATACTAAATACTACTAATGCTATTTTAAACACAAATACATTTCAATAAGAAGAAAAATTTCAAAAACTAAAATAAATATTATAACCAAAATAATTGTTATACCTCAAAGTCCAAAGATATTACAAATTATTGAATATTTTATTTGTTATATGTATTATGCAATCTATTAATATTTAATAAATTTATTTAAAACAAACTATGTCAATTTATACAAAAAGTAAACAGTTTGACTTAGGTTAGGTTTATAGGTGAGCTTAAAAGTTAAAATAGAGTAAAAATTAATTATTTTAAGCTAAATCAAGTTACAATTTGATTATTTTCTTCTTATTATTATCATATATAAAAATTATTGTGCGTTTACTAGTACTCGCTACTCTACGGAACCATTTATCCAATTGAAACCAAATTGTGCACACATATTCCTTGAGACTCGGGGAGTGTTTACAGCTTAGTTTGTCTTGACCTATATGGAGAGGTTCGCACAGGAATTTGTTTTGGACCACGGAAATTGAATATTTAATATTTTTTTGCTATTGGTTACAGAAATACAAATATTTTATACATAATAATCTATATTATACATACAAATTAGCTTATGTTTGCAGATTATAAACCTACTAAAAAACTATACTCGTCCAATTTTGAAGAAAATTTCAGAGATTTTTCTTAGAAGTTAGAGATATTAAAAAATGTTATGAGCAGTTTTCGTCCATGTTCGTAAATACAACAAGTGACATATCCAATCCGTCGACCGCCAACCATCTTAGTCGAATTAGTTCACCTAACGAGGTACACCGCAGCCGATTAGCCTGTGAACTGAGGGACATCAAACCTATCTTACACAACACTGTATTTTGTATTTGTTCATTTTTTGCTGGGTTATACAATTAGTATCTATATAATATTTATGAATGAAGATCATAAAAATGTGTTTATATACTTACTGAAGAGATTAAAAATATTTAAAAAATTTCGAAATAAATAAATAATAAATAAATCTTCCGAAACAGTTTTAAAACTAACTTTTTCACGTTTTAATTATTTTTCTTCAGTATTGATTTACATCATACATTCATACTTTATTCTTCAACAAATTATTAACTAGCTTACTTATTTTGTTGGAGTTGAATAAGAATACTAAAGAGTATATAGGTATTATAGTTAGTATCTTTAATAACAATTACATTAAAATAACAAGTCATTTTTGTTGTACAATGATACTATAATAGAAGTTGTATGTTGTTCATTTGGAATATTTCAAGAAATATAACAATAGTAAAACACTTTAAACAAACTGTATAAACCACCTAAATCTCAATAGGTATTTAAACTCTTATAGATATCTTATTATTATTTATATAATAGTGTTGACTTATGTTACCTACCTGCTTGGATAATATTAACAACAGTTTATATATTAAATACATACATTGTTAAAAAATTTTTTTGTTAGGTTTATTATACACTAGCTAATCCCGTGCACTTCGTTTCCCGTTAAATGTACCAACTCTATATGACTCAAACTTTGTTCAATTCGTTATTTAATAATCGGTGTATGGTGTTCAACATTTATCTTAACTCTTTTGTTGCCAGGGATAAAAATTCTGATCCGCAGCAGTATATTATCAAGTAGGCAATCTATACCTGCGGTAGATCGCGGACCTCGTGCTATTTGTACGTAACTTTATAATTTAACTCTAATGTATCAAAGTTATACCAAGTATGTCACTGAACTCCTCCTTAACGGCTGGACTAATTGTGAATGCCGAGTCTATGACCAATATTTCTTCCTCATCCACGAAGACGTGGCATTGTTTTATGTACGTAACTTATATGTGAGTATAATACGCTCAATATTTACGTAATTGCGATACATATAATATCAAAACACACCGTACAAAAAAATTAAATGCATTGAATGAATAAACTGATTTCACGGTAACCAATAATTATTATTATAATAGCTTTACAACCCATGGCGACCATTTATAAACAAAAATGTCCACCTTAAATCTCTAAATCCTTGTTTGAGCACATACCCTGGTTGGACCTATAGGGTTGATTTATAGCCTATGTGTTATTCTGATGTATAAGCTATATTATTGTAAAGTGCCATTAAAATCCATTCAGTATTTTTTACACGAAAGTGTAACAAACATACTTACAAACTTACGCGTTTAAAATATTAATAGGATATATTATAATATAATATAATCTAGATTATATCTATTGGTTTTGTTTACTATAGTTCATAATAATTTTTAAAACATTTAAACATCATTTTAAATACCTAAAGGTATTTATTTGGTGATTATTATACATTTGGTGTTGATATTTTATCCACAATTTAGTACCTATATCTTGAGATATAAAAATATTTTGGGTAATAACAAACCCATTTAAAGGCAAAATAAGCATTTTCAAAATATCTTTATTATATGTAGTATTTAATGCATTTGAAAGTTGAAAAAGTCGGAGAAAGATTGATCAAACTGATAAATATGCAAAAGGGATAAATATTATTATAATTTAATTTGTAATATTTAGATTATATAAGAAGTATAAACCCTGTCTAAGTGGTGGTAGGAGGGGGGACCGAATCCTATCCGATCACGTCACGTCCTCACCCTTAGTAGGTTCACGACATCTGTGCATAATATTATAATATTGTAATACTCAAACATTACAATTATCAGATTATCTGCCAAAAATATTTCTTTGGTCTATATATTATACTCATAATATTTTACTAATATTCAAAATAATTGTACTTTTATATGATTATTAAAAACAAAACTATATATACAACCCTATAGATATGGGAATGCGACACTCCATGCTTGCTGTTCGATGTTTTAACCATCGTACAAGCCGCGGAAAATTGTATCGTAATGGTTGCGCAACAACGACGCTTACTGTAAGTACGTGAGGTGTGTGTGTAATGCGTTTTGAAAAATAAAAATTATGAGAAATATCCGCGAGGTGTACCCCCTTCCTACCGCGTATCACATTTAAATGATCGTAGATCGGCCATCTATGTGGCCGGCGTGAGTTTTAACTGCAGCGTGGCGATCGCGGAAAACGGTGGCCGCCGGCGAATAATAAAAAATGCGACCGCCGCCGCCGCCGCTGCTGTGGACGGGGCGCGCGAAAAGTATGCCTCACCGCCGCCGCCGTCATAATATCTATACAGCTAATATTCTACTCGGCGTCAGCCGTCTCGAATGGACGCGGAAAAAATATTATCATTGCGGCCGGACCGAGAGGCGTCGTCGGCAGTCGTTGACATGACAAAATGTTATAGTCAATAATTATTGTTACAATTTAATATTATCGTCACGGGCGGTATGGTGTTCTACACAATGCACACAAGTATAATACGTATATTGTATGTATATATTAATGTATATTGTATATATATATTAATGTATATTGTATATATATATTACGATCGCGAGTATATATGAGGCGCATAACGCGAGCGAAGGTTTTTTTAAACGCGTGTGGCGAAGATGGGCTGGTTTACTATGGTTGTTACAAGCTTTCGGTTGATCGCGCGAACCGCGGTCGACGATGATGATAACGATACAATTATAAGCGGCCAAAAACAAAACTTAATACTATAATACAACTTTATATTATGTACTGTTCCGCGTTTGTTGTTTGATTCGGACGCGCGCAATATGATCGTCGTTATATCATAACATAGGTAGGTACTATTATTGTAATGATATTACAAGCGTATTATAATAATATTATCACCATATTATTGTAACACATGGTGTAAATTTTATACTAAATATTATTATAATATTATTATGTGTCGTGGGAGTAAGGTACTCACGCCTGTATGCTCCTGGATAGCGGCCATCGGTCCATTGTGGACTGGTAGCGCATGTTTTCGATCTGTTTCTTGAGCGCGTCCCGGTCCATCGCTGAAAGCACACTGGGGTCCATGACTTCGCCGCCGCCGGCGCCCGCGTATGTCGTAGTCGCCGCCGCCGCCGCCGCCGCCGCCTCCGCGGTATATACGTATATACAGTGACCTTATACCGCGGTAGTCGCAGACGCCGCCGCTGCCGTCGACCAGCGCCGCTTGTTCGTTCGTTCGTTCGTTCGGCCGCCGTCCGTTCGTCGGGTCTGCGAAAAACGCACGCGCACACGGCTTAGTACACGTACAAGACACACACACACACACACACACACACACACACGCCCGCCCCGCCCACCCAACTGGCGGTCTCCCCCAACACGCTCGTCCCGCGCCGTTCCCCGCCACCGCACACCCGGCACGATATCGATTATTATCAAAGCCGAAAACGCGCGCGACAGACAGTGCTCTAGCACGGTGTGTGTGCGTGAACACAGTGGCCCACGAGCACCCACGCCGCCACCACTCGCCACCCGACCATCCATTGACAAACCGCGCGGCAACACCGCCACCCCGCTCGCTCGGTTTTCTCACCACTGTTTTACACCTATGCGTATATTATTATAATATATTATGTTTACAGAAAGGTGGTGCTACCCCCCGACACAACCCCCGTGACCGTAGTCACATGAGATAGATGTGTCATACTGCTACAGATAGGTAGGTACTATATTCAAGTCGGGACGTGGGCGAGGGTGTATTAAAAAAGTTATTTCAAGTGTACCTATGTAATGATAATAATATTGTATGTACAGACATGCAGGATGGTGATCGCGAATTGTATATGATGTAAAGATCCAAACCTAAGCTAAAACCACGCTTACCAGGTATAGGAATATAGGATATATAGCTGCATCGAAGTCCCTATAACCAAACAACTAATAAAAAAGATATTTCTTCGGTTATTCGTGTGTATTTGTATTTATTGTAAATTTAGAACTTTGGAAAAACATTTAGTAGGTATTTTGAAACAATTAATTAATTAAATAAATGAAAAAAAAAATGTATAATAAACAACATAAGTAGGTAGTTACCAATTTGAGCTCTGATACCTGTTACTGCATGTTAGTTGTACGATTTTTGGCATTTAGAAAACGAAAATAATAATTTTTTTGATATTTCTATTTTTATCGTATTAGTATTCTCTCTTTGAGATTTACGATACAAAGGGGATAAGCCCTGTGGAAGGGTTGATTTTTTTCTCTCGTTTTTGTCATGGGTTGAAAATCGTAAACCTGCGCGTGTTACGCGTGTTAAATCTCTTCTCGGCTGCCGCCAATGGTCTAACGAACGAATACTTATTAAAATGTCAACTTATACTCGACTACCCGACCTCTACCATCCAACAACGTTGCTTGAATGTCGTTTACACTAGATGAATTATTAATTTATTTGAGTATTGGCCCTAATTGGATTTATTATTTAATCGTCGGGAGTCAGTGATTTGTTTACATCGATAAGATAGAGTGCAACAGTGGATTCAGTCGGTCTGTCCAAAATAGTTTTCCCTATTCTTCTCCCTTTGGCCTTTACTTATAGTTATATATTTTGTTTTGCCACACGCCCACACATTTAGCGTGAATAACTTGTCTTATTTTAATATAATATTATGATATTTTTACGAAAAACTATAGGTCGCGCGATTACAGGAAATATATTTATAAATTAAGGTGGATTATTAGGTATTTATTACGAAAGGTCAACTATTATATTCATCCTACACGTATAATTATACTGCACACATGGGTTTAAGCAATATATAATTCTATTGTTTCATAACTAAATTTTAGGCACATTTTTTTAGGTTTGGTAAATTTTATAATAATTTTTTAGTATTAAAAAAATGTTAGGTGTAGTACATACCTAAATATGTATTTGTTGAAGAGTAAAAATATTTATTCTTCGTGATGTATACACGTGAAATGTAAAAAAAATATTGATTTACCAGCTACTGATTAAATATTAAATTTAGGTATTAGGTACAACACATTTCAATGATTTTAATGCTCCCCATTGTTAAAGTGTAATTATTATTTTTTGTACCGTTTGGGTTTTTATTTTGTTTGAGGTAGTAATCAAATCAATTATTATATACAATTCTTTTCAGTTACGTAATTATTCAGTTAAAAGTATATTCATAAAATATTAATTCCTGAAGTAAATCATTATTTTACAAAATGTTTTGGTGCTTTGGCTGCATTTATTTTATACATTGAAAATTAATATTATATTTTTGCTCAATAAAAATCTTTACTGTCTTCTTTAATTGATTCAATTTAATTTGAAATATTTATATATTCTATAATATTTATTCAATAGTTATTTTAGGTTCGCCCAGTTTGACATTAATCTAATATATACATTAAAGATTTTGTTTTAATATTATAGTGGTTAGTTTTATAATATTAATTCCACTACAATGAAGGAAGAATGAAAAAATATTTTTATATTATGAATTTATGAAACATTTAAATTTAAATTAATTGTTTATTTAATCTAAAAATATGACATTAAATGTATTATATAAAAATATTAAATGGATTATGTAATATAAGTATGACTTAAATGCCGAGTGACTAATGATTAATGGATAAATGTGATGTTTTCTAAATGTACATTTATAACTATAAATCTTTGGTAAATTACTATATAAAAACAAACATAAAAATATACCATATACCATAAGGAATAAGTAGTGCCATTTTTAATGTTACTATTTTAGATTCAGAACGAGGCGATGAATGTATCGGTTTTAAAATTATGTGTGTGTTTTTTTGGTTTGTTTGTAGATACTGGACACCATTTGGAGTAATAAAATGCTTCGACTTTGAGGGTGGTTTCTGGTATCAAATTATATATAAATATATAATTGGTACTTTTAGGGGTCAAAAGTAGATATATAATTTATAAAATAAATGGGCAAACCTAAAAAAAAAAAGAGAAGATTTACACAATACGAGTTTTAGTCAAAATCAATTTTGTTATTTTGTTGTTACTGGTTATTCAAAAATGAATAACAGTAGAGGCTTGATCATTTTACTTACATAACTATTTATGCTTAAATAGGCTCAATATTTATACTTACATAACTATTTTACTATTTTATTATTTTATTAGACTTTGTCTCATTTTCAAAGAGTTTTGATATTTTTGTGATATTGACGGACATTTGAAACTTTTGATTTTTGTTTAGTTTTTTTTTCAATTTATGTTCTTATAAAGATAAACAATTTGATACAAGTTTCAGAAGTTGGTCCACGAAATTCGTCAAGATTATTTTCATGAAAAAATTATTTAGTGGTTTAAAAAAAAAATTATTTAACACTCAGTCCTAAAGCAGTTAACCTTAGGCTCGAAATAGGAATACACTTTTGTTTTACTGAAATTGAAAAAAAAGTTTAACATAAAACCACATACATTTTATAAGCATTTGAAGGAATTTAAGGAATATTGTTACTTTTCATTATTACATATATAATTGATTAGGCACTTAACACAATGACAATTAAAAAATATTTAAATTAACTTTAAGCTATATTTATACCACTAATCTATTCACACCTTATAATGTAATGAGTATTGACTCATACATTTAAAAATAATAAAGGGTAGTGATATTATCTGAAATAATCTTATATCAGTACGTTTCTATATATAATATAGTATGTGATTTATTTTTGACAAAAAGATGTTAAAAATATTTTATTAATAAAACAAAAATATCTTATAGCAATACAAATATACATATTATAAAATATTAAAATATTTTTAGAAATATATAGGCTAAAAGGCGTGTTCAGAATCATATTTAGTATGTAATGATTTATCATAAATTAATATTTAATTTATCTTTTACTCGAGTTACCTATTATAGAGCAGTGAGCAAGTGAATTTCCTTATTTTTTTTCAATTTATGTTTTAAGTAGAAATAGTATACAGAATAATAAGTTAAACATATTACGTCTGCACGTGTGCGATTGCATGTTATTCACATATAATATATTGTATTGTACTATTTTGATTTGTGGTATTTCCGTAATTATTATTAATATAATGATTTATGGAAAATTGAACAGCCTTGAGTTTTAATGAAAAAAAATGTTTGTGTAAGAAAAATGTGTATTATTTTGTTACCTATAACTAAGCATATAACTTGTAACATATGATTACCCAGTGAAATTATTGGAATACAACAATGCTATAAAATTACTTCGTTGTTTCCAAATTCTACTATTTAGTAAATAGTTTAAAGCAATTTTCACATAGGCGTAGTATGAAGTAGCGGTCTAACTGTCTAAGGGGCTATATCCCCCATGTAATTTTGTTTAGCCCCCCCCCCTACCAACATTCCCTTAATTTTAGATTCTGAGTGAAACGATGAATGTATTGATTTTACAATGATGTGTGTTTTTTTTTAATTTTTTAATTTTTAATTTTTCTGTCTGTGTACACGATAAGTAGTCGAAATAATGATTCGATTTTCAACTTCAGTATCTTGTTCGATTGAAAAGTGAATATCGTTGGTGCATTGGGAAGGTCAAAATTTAAAATTCCCAGAAATTTCAAAAGCGCCAAGAAAAATAAAAGACCGAACCAATAAGGAAAAACGGGAATTCTTACGCAAAATAGATTTTTCACAAAATTGAATTTGGTTTTTGATGTAACTTTAAAACAAATGACCGTAAATACATGCAATTTTCACTGGTTGTTTATATTTGAATTTTCTATACACGATCACATTTTCAAAATATTTTGATTTATTTTGAACTGTTTAGAGACATTTTCATTTTCCGATTTTTTATTATTTCTTTTTTCTAAAAATATCAATACAATTTTATTTGTTGGTTAAAAAAGCTTGAAAATTAAATAGAAGGCTCCTAGTATATTTTTTCAAAGGCAGATAAAAATTTTAAAAATCTTTAGTCACAGTTTTTTTTATAAGTATTTAAAGTTCAAAAATTGACAAAATATGGAAAAATCACGGAAATTAGCGAATTATTTTGAGTTAAGAATTCGTAAAAATTTT